TGGTTGGTGGCGATGATGATGCCGGCAGTAAACTCACTGAGCTTTCCGGTATTTCAGACACCAAACGTTCACATACTATCCCACTTAATCCTCATAAGAACCTACGAAGCAGGCCTCCCTGGTGGCACAAGGGGTTAAGCACCGCACTATGAAGTGATCCGCAGCCACTGCAGCACAAGTACGATCGCTGGCCGGCCAGGGAGCTACCCACATGGCACTGCAGACCTCTCCTGTCTCCCCGCTGCTCCCCTCAGCAGTGGATTTCAGTCAGTCTGCCTGTTCTGCTCCCCACTCTGTCTCTGGTGAATCCTCTCACCCCCCCGCCCCCGCCTCTCTGGCCTGCACCCCAGCTCTTGTGTGCATAAATAAATAAATCTTAAAAAAAAAAAAAAAGAACCTACAAAGGAGTTACGATTAATAGCCCCATTTTAACATGAAGACACTAAATCGAGAGGTGAAGTAGCTAAGTAGAAGGGCTGGAAGGCCGGGCGTGCTGCACTGTGCAGAAGGCTTCACCCCAAATCCGAAGCGCCAAGGAGGTTTCTCAGGCTGCTCTACGAAGACGCCGCGCCCACAGCCTTTCACTGTCCTCCCTCCGCTGGCACCACTGACGGCTACTCCGTCACTGTCAGTGGGTCTCCCGCCCTCAGCCCCCCCCTCGGCCCGGCTAGAGAGGACCCCACACGCCTGGGGACAGCAGGACACAGGGCTGCGCGGCCACCGTGCTGAGGCCCCACCTTCCCGGTTACAACATAAACAGGAATTGAGGCTCTACAGGCAGGAACAATCCGAAAAACCAAGAAAAGGAATGTGTTCCGCTTGCAATTCAAAAAAAAATTAATGAAACATCTCATGGCAACACAGGGTCATGAAAGGCCTTCCTTGGCCCAACCCTGTGTTTATTTTCTGTGGGGCGAGGGGCAGGGTCCAGCGCAGCCGGCGTCTCCCCCAGAGGAAGGTTCTCCAGCTGTTTCCTTTCCCGAGCGGCGCCTCAGGAACACCCGGCGGTGGGCGCCAGGCAGAGCCAGCCCTCCCTGCGCCCCGCCCTCGCCACCCCACGGGGCTGGCGCTGGGGGGGGGGCACCGGGGAGGGGGCTGCTATTTGCAGACCTTCCAGGTGAGGAAAGGGCGGGAGCAGCCAGGTGAGCCGAGAGGGTCTGTGAGATTCCCCGGGGAGCGCGCCCTGGCCTCCGCCGCCATCCCGGGGGTCGAGTGGCTCGCCTGCAGGCACACAGCCGCCTCTGGGCGGACCGGGAGGGGCGTGCTCCTAAGGCTGTTTTAGGCAGAAGGTAGAATGGCCACCTGCCTCCCCCCTCCCCCGCCCCCTTGACTGCAGGAAAGAGCCCCCCCACCCCCAACCCCACCCCCCGCCACCCCAGAAAGCTTCCTAGGGGTGGAGACTTGTCATGGGGCGCTGAGCAGAGAGAAAGTCATCGCATCAAGAGTCCAGGTCCTGCCTTCCTGTGTTTCGGGGTTCCAGGCGCCAGTAAGCTGTCGCTGCCTTGGTCGTCTCTGGGGGAACCGAGGTCCTCGCAAGGCATCTCAGGGACCCGCCCTCATGTAACCCCTCGGCCCCAGGGTCTAGTCACACCTGAGTCTCCCTGGTCTCTCTTCCTGTGTGTGACCTCCCAGCAAGCCGTACCGAGAGGCGTCTCCCCTGCAGGGACAGCCAGCACCCCGCACACAGAGGGCACCCCCAGCAGACGGCAGAAGAGGGAGGTGTTGTTTCAGTGCGGCGGGAGGTGACGCGTCTCGCGTGACCAGCACCTCCGGGCCGGGGGGAGCAGCAAACAATCAATGGAAAACATCGACGTGCTGCTTCACAGCAAGGCCGAGCATCGCCCCGCGAAACTTTGCCAGTGACTTTACAGCATCAAGTATTTCCGACCGGAACACCGGGCGAGACGGGGTCGAGAGTCACGTGGTGCTGCGACAGGCCCTCGGCTGCCCCTTTGCAGCGGGAACGCGACGCGGGCCTGAGGCCCTCGGCAGTCGCGCAGCAGGTCTGCTCCTGGAGCAGACGTCCTGGTGCACGTCCGGACACCACACGGGCTAGTCTACGCCGACCCGCCACGACGGTGTGAGGAACAAGGTCCGGAGGGTGGGATAGGAATGGGGGCGAAGTTTTACGAGGGCCAGGGAAGGGGACACGGTGACCATGCGTCAAGAGCCATGTGCGTCAGCCACGTATTTGCTGTGATCGCAGGCGGGGTTCCCCGCGCCCACCCCGGAGACAGGCGCGAAGTCAGGTCAGCAGCGGCCTGGGCCTCCCCGGACCTGCCTCCCGCTGCGGGCTGCACTCCGCAGGCAGTCCAGGAAGGCTCTGCTGTGATTTGTGGATAGCAAATAGGCCTCCGTTGCCCACGAGTGGCCAGCCAGCAGCCGGCCACGGGAACCCACGGCGGCAAGCAGGCCGCCTGCTGAGACGAGGGGCGAGCGTAACAGTCCCTGGCCTAGCGCGTCTCCGGGCTGGGAAGTCAGTAAACAGACTAGCGGTTGCAGCACATGATGCTGAGGGATCTGAGCGAGGGCGTGGGAGGCTCCGAGGTCCTGCTGCGAGAAAGGGCATCCGGATTTCCCAGAGGAGGGGACGCTCACCGGGAACAGACAGGCGGAGTTCTAGTCTCTCCCCCACTCTGCGGGCATGAGGGAGTGACAGCCCCTGCCCGTCCCAGTCTACAGACGCCTTCCCACCCTCCACCTCCCAGCAAGCTGCGAGACCTCAGGGGAGTCAGTCAACCTCTCCGGACCCAGCTTCCTCTTCTACAGATGGGAGCGGGCCTAGCCAGGCTGCGCACCTCAAGGACATGAAAGCTCAGGTGAGCCGGATAATGTATGTGAAGGGACTTGGCAGTCCAGCGGAGGGGGACGCGTTGTCTCCACGGGTCAGGAACCAGAAGGGGCGATGTGGCGGGTGCGGCCCGACGCCACAGAGCTGGGGTAGCTGGTCCCCCTCGATCTTCAGCCCTCAGCTCCTGCCTGCGCTCTTCCTCCTCCCATCGCAGCTGAACTTGCAAGGGGCTGGAGGCAGGACCCAAAAAGGTCCCCCAGCAACCTGACTACTTGAGATTTACCTTTAAAATCCTGTCGTTTTAATGCTCTCCGGATGATGACAGGAGGCAGATTTGCACGACTCCTCCCTTTCCCCTCCTGTTAATGAACGAGGATCCACCCAAAGTCGGTGTTGAAAGTTACATAAGCACCGTTCCCATCTTCTGCAACAGCTACTTTCATTTTGGGAAAACAGCATTTCCATTAAAATGGTGTTATATAAAAAGGCTTTGTGTGTGTATGTGTAGGAGCAGAAAGAACAGGCACGAATGAGCACTTTCAAGGCACACACACATCACACCTTCCCGCTCACGGGGTGGGGCGGCCTCTTGTCCTCTGACCCCAGTGCGACCCGGTACACACTGGGCAGCAAGAGCTTCAGCAAGAAGGACATCGGGCCTCCCTGGTGGCCAAGGGGTTAAGCCCGGCACAGTGACGCTGTCCACAGCCTCTGCAGGAGGAGTTCGATCCCCCACCCGCCAGCCGGGAGCTCCCCACATGGCGCAGCAGACCTCTCCTGTCTCCCCCTCGGCAGTGAGTATTAGTGGATCTGCCTGTTCTGCTCCCCGCTCTGTCTCTGGTGAATCCTCTCACCCCCTGCCTCTGGCCTGCACCCCAGCTCTTGTGTGCATAAATAAATAAATCTTAAAAAAAAAAAACAAAAACAACCAGCCATCAGCTGCCCCCAACACCAGGACCAGAGGGGGCCTGACCTTTCTGGAGGCCCTTCCTTGGCGGGGTGCCTTCCGTTGAATCACAGACTGCTGCACTTGGAAATAGCTCGGTGGCCCCCCAGTGCGAGCTCACGCCAGCCTTGCCCCGACTCCAGCTTCCTCCCAGGGCAGCCGGCGCTACCTGTGGACAGGTGGACTCGGTGCAAAAGCCTTGCTAGGGAGCTGGGCCTTCTGGAGCCCCCACTTCTGGGGAACAGACGTACACCCTTCGCCTACAGCTCTGACCAGGAGGCCGCGAGTTCAAGAGCCAAGGCCGGCCGAGGGGGCCGGGGCCCAAGGAGCCGGGGCAGAGCCCCCAGGGCCGAGGCTGCCCGGGGACGCCTCAATCCTCCGAAACAGGAACTGGGGTTACGGGGGTGGCGGCAGGAGCCGGGGAGCAAGAGGGGGTACACCCTGCAGGGGCTCGGGCCTCATTTGCAGGGCGGGGGCCAGACCAAACCGAGCTCGATTCCAACTCCAGTCCTGAGTTTGCTCCCACATACACGTCCCTTTCGGGGTTCAGGGGTTGTGCAACAGAGGGCGCGCGGTCAGGGGGAGCAGGAAAGCCGCCCGGTCTCCCCGTCCTGGCCGAGCCGAGCGGCCGCGGGGGTCGCCAGAGGGCGTCGCCGCCGCCTGGGCGCGGGGCCGCCCCGCAGGAGCCCCCCGCAGGCGCCCCGAACGCGGGCGGCGAGCGTCCTTTTAAGGAGTTGGAAGGGGGCGTGGCCGGGCGGGCGGCCGGGGCGGGGCCGGGGCGGGGCCGGGGCGGGCCCGGGGCGTGGCCGCGCGGCTGGAATGTTGTTGGGTCCTCGCGCCGCATAGTAAGGAGGGGCCACGCCCCTTTCCCGCGCGCGGCCAATCGCGGCGCCGGGGCAGTTTCAAGGCTCCCCGGCCCGCCCGCCGCCCGCCCGGCCCCCGCCCTCGGGTCCGTTTCTCCCGTGACCAGGCCGCGAGCCGGGGCGCGGGCGGCGGCGGGCGGCGGCGGCGGGCGGGGCGGCGGCGGGCGGGGGCGGCCGCGGCGCGGGTTGTTTATCTGGAGTACGGGGGGGCCTGGAAACCGCCCCGTCCCATTTCCTCCTCTTGTTTTCGCTCCGGATTCTCCATGTTGGACCCAAACTGAGGAGCCGGAGCCGCCGCCGGGGGATCGGGCGCCGCCGCCGCCGCCCGCCGCGCGCCTGGCTCGGCCGCCCTCCCGGCGCGGAGGCGGCGGCGGGATGTGAGGCCGCGGCGCGGCGCGGGGCAGATGGACCGCGGCCCCGTCATCGCCCAGGCGCGGCGCGAGGACGCCCCGGCGCGCGCGCGCCCAGGTAGGGCCCAACTTCGCAACTTCGCGCGCGGCCGCCCCCGCCCGCCGCCCCGCCGCCCCCGCGCGGCGGCCGGGACGCGCCGCGGGACTCGGGCCGAGTTCGGCGCCGGGCGGCGGCGGGGGCGGGGGGCGCCGGGCCGGGGACCCGCTCCCCCCCGCCCGCGCCCCGCGCCGCGTCCCGGTTACGTAACCGCGCGGGGGGGCCGGGCCGGGCCGGGCCGGGCCGGGCCGGGCGCGCGGGCCGGAGCCGCGGCCGCCGGGCCGACCCCGTCCTGAGGAATGTGGGGGCGGCGGCCCCGGGGGGCGGCCGGCGGCGCTCGGGCTTTTTGTTTTCGGGAACTTCCCGCCCGCGCGGGCCGGCGCCCCGGACCCTCGGCCCCGCCCGCCGCGCCCCGGGGCCGGCGCGGGCTGGAGGCGGCGGGGCCGGCCGGGCGGGCGGGGGCGGCCGCGGGGGTCGGCGTCGCCCCCGCGCGCCCCCGAGGACCCCCGGCGCGGGCGCTGACCTGGGGGACGGGGCCAACTTCGCGCCCCTGGGGCCGCCCCGACCCCTCGCGACCCGCCAGCTGCGCCCCCGCGAGGACCCGGGGCGGGACGGCGTCCGGGCGCGGCGAGGGGTCGGCGCGGCTGCCGCGGGGCTCCCTCCGCGGGGCTGGCGGGGGCGGGGCTGGCCGGCGGGGGCGCCGCTGCCCGGGGCGGCGGGCCGGGCACTCCGGGGGCCGGGGCGGCGCGCGGTGCTGGCCGCGGGGCTCCCGCGTCGGCTCCGTCCTCTCCCCGGACGCGGCGTCCCGCACGCGGGGGTGCGCGGCGCGGCCGGGCCCCTGGGGAGGGGCAGCGGGGGCGAGGCCCGCTCCCGGGCCCCCCCGGCCCCCCGGCTCCCCGACCTCCCCCGCTCCCCGGCTCCCCGGCCCCCCCCGGCCCCCGGCCGTCACCCGCCGACCAAGTGTCCAGCCCCGCGCCCACGCGGGCTCTGCTCTCCGATTCTGCGTCTTTTCAGAAAAGCGGAACAAAAGGGCCCGGAGCCCCCCGGAGTTGACGAGGAGCCCCCGCCCCCCGCGCCCCGGCCGGCCCGCCTGTGGGGGGGCAGGCGTGCGGGCGGCTGATGAATAAGTAATTTTTTAAGGGAAGAAACACGCTCCCGGCGGGGTGACTGAGCGGAGTCTCCGGCATTCGGGGCGCCGGATTCCAGAGTCGCCGCCCTGGGGAGCCGAACCAGGGCCGGCGCGGGACCCGCCTTCCCGGGGTGTCTGCGCGTCAGGAAAAAGTGACCCTCCCTCTGTCCGGAGGAGGGCCGGTCCCTCCCCGCCACCCGCAGACGGGCACCAGTGCGGGGAGGCCGTGCCCGGGCGTGGGGGTGAGGTGGGCGAGCCAGGGAAACGGGACCCGCCGCCCCAGAAGGGGGAGAGGGGCGGGCAGCGCCTGGCAGAGCTGGCAGAGCGCCCCGCAGACCCCGGTGGGCGCGGAGACCCCCTTCCTCTCAGGGAGAGGGTGCGGGGCCCGGCCCCCGCTTCTCCCGCGCGGTCGCCAGCCCCGGTCAGCCGCCGGCCCCGAGGAGCAGGAGGGTGGCAGACTCGGCCCGCCTCGCGCCCCCACGAAGGGAGACACGAGCACCTGTAGCCGGAGGCGCGACCTGGGCTGGAGCTCGCGGGGCTGGGCTGCCCCTGTGCGGGGCCGGCTTCCTCCTGCCGCGCGTCCCACCGGCTGCCCCAGGCCCGCTCGGCGCCCGCCTGTGGGGTGACTTACGCTCGTGTTCGCGCCTTCCCCAGGATCCCCAGGGAGCGCTGCTAGCGCAGCAACAAAGTCTGTGAATGCCTCAGTTCGGGGCCTGGGAGTTGGCAGCTTGACTTCCAGAATTTTCAACTGAGGAGGACTTGCGAATTGCCTTGAAAATCCCAAAGAGCAGGAGGGGCGGTGTCCCTGCCGCCTGCCTTCTCCACTGCGGGGCCTTAAGCTGGTGGTCAGCGGTCTTACTCCGCCTCTCCCGGGGCCCTGTCAAGGCACTGGGGACCGTGGATTTTATTAAAGTAAATACCGTAGCCGCGGTGGACTGAGACCCCAGCCTTCCGTGGGGAGTTGGGGATGGCAGCGTGCGGCACTAAAGGCCTGGGGGCAGGCGTGATGTAAAGGTGCACACACCTATATGCAGGTGACTCTCTTCCTCCCGGACCTTCTTCCTGCTGTCTTTTGGGTGTTGTGTTCTATTCGCTTCTTGGGGAAATTTGGTTCTTGGATAACGGAGCGGGGCAGTGCTTCAGGTGTGCATCGTTACTTCAGAGAATTGCCCCAGCAGCAAAGTTGGTGTTTCAGGCCCCGGAGCAAATCCTTGCTTTCCAAACTATGCACTTCCTCGGCAAATGACTCCTTACAAAATGGGAATATTGGCATCTACACTCCTGTAGTAGCTGGTTACTCAGTAGGCTGACTGATAAGTGTTAAAGTCTTTCTTTTTTACCCAGCTAGACTACTGTTCCGGTCTGCATCTCTTTAGGGACACAGTGTAAAACAGTCCGTGGTCATGAGGGTCTTACTGTTAAAGACAGATGGGGGTGTCAGAGGTGGGGGGTGTCAGAGCACACTGATGTGGGGGCTTGGACCTTCCGGAAGGCTCAGTCTCTAACACTGAGCAGACAGGCTTGCTGCAGACTCTGTGACGATGCCACTTGGGATAGGATTTGATTTGCATGGATGCTTGTAGGGTGGGCCTTGGGGCTTGCACCACTCTGCCTAGTGCCTGGCATTGGGTGGGAGGAGGCGAGGGAGCCCTGCACCTCCTAGGAGGGGTCTCTGACGTCCAAACCTTCCGAGCACTTGCCCAGCCTTGCAGAAAGGGGGAGAACGAATACTTGCAGCCACTGTACTGGTCTCCTGTCGGCTGCGTTTGCTTTGAGAGCTGATGAACCCAGTGAGGTTCCGATTTCTTTTAGGGAATTCGGTTAACCAGGAAAGAAAAAAACTTAGGATTTTGAAGAGAAGTAGATGTTCTTAAGTTCTGTCTGGCTGCTGTGGTTTTGGGGTGCAACACTGGGGAAGTCGACAAGCAGCGTTAAGTTGCTTCTTATCCTGCCCAGGCTGGCTAGCTTGAAGCACAGAAGTAACTCACTTGTCTTTGGGGACATGGGCTTGGGTGTGGCCCTGACTTGACTCCCCTCCCTTTTCTGAAATGGAGGAATAATTGTTCCCAACTGGGATGCAGATGAGCTCATTAACATGCAAACCTTATGAAGTTGACTTAGAATCGGAGGCCTCCCTGGACCCGAGGCCAACTGGAACAGAGTTTCTTTGTCCAGCAGAGTGCCCAGCCCTTCAGGTCTGCTTGTGCCTGCACGGGTCTGCGGTTGCAGAACGACTCCTCCAGCCAGCACCAGGCCTCCCGCCCCCCAGGGCAGCAGCGCAGTTCTTACTCCTCAGCAGTTCTCGGGGTGACCTCCAACCTGATCTTGCGTGACCCTTCCTTTTCCCTTTCCAGGTGTTCCTGGTCTTCCCCCCAACCTTCAGAAATCAAACTTTGCCCTTATAATTCTTGTATTTACCTTCTGCGACCTCTTGCATACAGATAGTTTTCACATCCTGCAGAATTTCCTTTCCCACCGCGCTGTTTTCAGAGAAGGAATGTGGCCCCCACCCCAGTGTGAGCCGTGAGCATTCCGGGCAGGCGCAGCACAGACCTGGATCCCTGCTCCTCTCTCCAAAGCTGAATGGGCCAGGGCCTCCCTCACAGCAACGGGCCTGCAGGAAGAGACGCTGGCTTGAGTCTTTTGCAGGCGCCCCCAAAGGAAAACCAGCCCGCGGGGCCCGGGGTCTGAGACCTGCAGAGACCTTGGGCCGGTGGGAGATGGGGGGAGAAGGGCTGAGGGGCCTCCGACTGAGTCACCCTCCAGTCCTGGAAGGGTTAGTCAGGGACCACTGGCAACCTTTAGTCGTTGGCTCTCAGCCAGGGGCACCATCAGAGTCTCCTGTGGCACTTACTAAAAATACAGGCCCCACCTGGGTCCTACCTGGTCACAGCAGGAGCAGGTGGGCTGGGCATGCGTGCGTTCCAAATGCGCCCTGTGATTCTGACAGGTGTCCCTGGAGACGAGCCAGGTCAGCACGGCACTGGCCCCAACTGCCTGCCTAGCCGAGGCAGGAAACCTCCCCTGGAGGGATCCAGTTTTGCTGTTTGTTAAGATGCTGTGGCTCTTAGAGGCGAGTCTCAAGTTTCCTGAGCGGGGATGGACGGAGCAGCACCCCCACTTACCAAGCGGTCATCCCGGGCAGCACTCGGGGAGCACTCTCCATGCACCGGGCCCTGTTGCTGTCAATTCATATCTGTGTCTCACTCAACCCTCATGACCTCACGAGATAGGAATTCGCGCCCCTTGACAGGTGAGGGCAGCTTCTGCTGACAGGGCCAGAGCCCCTGTCCAGGGAGGAGCTAGTGAGTGTCCCCGTGGTTCTGCCTCCCAAGTTCTGCCTTAAGCAGGACCCACACTCACTCTCCCCTGCATCGTACACCCCACTTTTTAGAGTGCCTTTGAGTTGAAGCTTCAGGTGCTCTGAAGCCACATTGGACAGACTGCTCAGGTGTGCCTTTGCCAGCTGCCCTGTCAAGGAAGCAACTGGAGAGAGGCTGTGACTTAGGCAAGACCGTGAAGCTGTCTGAGGGGCTTGAGTGGGCCCAGAGCCAGGTTTCCTGACTTTAGGCCAGGCTGTCTCAGGTAGGCCTCCCAGGGCCGGTGACTTCCCATCCCAGACACAGCTGAGGGTGTGGAGGAGCTCAGGACATCCCTGAGGTCAGGGCAGACTCCCCCAGACTCCCCTTCCAGCCCTCCTTCCAGGCCAGCCCTGGGAGGAAGGAGGTGGGGGTGGGGGTGTGTGTGATTGCTTTCTGTGCAGTCCCAGGAAAGGCCAGTTCCCAGGCTTGGCCCTGCACCACCTCTGTGTGACTTCGGAATCTCTGGTCTCTCTCTCTCCATGTGAACTCTCTGGGATTGAGACCAAGATAGGTTATAAAAGTGCTTTGTA